TTATTTTAATTAAATAATTATTTATTAAATTATAATAAAAAATAAAAGGGCAAAAAGTTTTGTCCCAAACTGTATATACTTTGATATACTAAAAATCTTGCATTCAATGTTTATCTGTAATATAAAAAAAAATAATTGATTTTCAAAAAAAAATTTAATAAATTTAAAAATACTATACTCTTTTATTATTATTGTATGTATATATTATTTTTTTGTATAACCGATATAAGTAATATATCGTCCATAATTAGGATGCATTAATTTTTTTGCATAGGTGATACGAAAAAACGCCGATTTTTATCATCCTATCATAATTAAAGAGTTATTTATAAAAAATACGTAGTCTGATTATTTTACGTCATGTGCATTTTATCAAAGTAAATAGCATGTGCATAGAAAAATAAACCAGCTTTACTTTATAATCACTCTGGAATTTTTAAAAAATTAGTTTAGATGGATTGATTTAATTAATTCATATACAAAAATGGATTTTTTTGATGAAAAAATAGGAATATTTGGGGTTGCATTATTTTTCTTCAGATTCAGGAAGGGAATTCCTGTATTCATTGAGAATGGAGACCCATTCGTCTCGCTCTTTCTCCGTCGAAGCAATAAGTTTATAGGTCCTTGTTTTGGTTTCAATTTCGAAAGCAAAACTTCTGTCATCAATAGTTCTTATTTGAACTTCACGAGCGATCTTAATTTCTTTAGGCTCCGTATCATCTTTCTCGTCTTTATAGTATTTCAAGAAACCTTCCTGAGTAAATACAAAGAATCGTCGTTCATGAAGCCTTACAAATTGACTTAATTTTTCTAGATAACCATATTTACGATCATTGTCGTTCGTTACTACAGACGACTCTTCTTTTGTCGCTTCTTCGGTTTGCCTACCTAACCTGTTATTTAAAAATGAAAAATATGTGAACAACAGACAATTTAAACCTATATCTTCACCACCACCAAACGTGCCTCTTAAAAATGCTATTAGACATCTTTTTTTTTAATTGTCTGTGATGAAAAAAATGTGAATAATAAATACGAAAAAATGTGAATAATAAATATGAAAAGGTTGGTAACTGTCGCGCAAACTTCTATGATTAGTTTAAGCAAGCAGTAGATCGCAGGTAGAAACGCTAATCGGTCCGCTCGGTCCGGTCTGTAGGAGTCCTATAATAGGACAAAAGTTTTCTAGAATTGATCTGCCGTACAGTGCTCTATAAAATATCTTTCGAATAATACGGGTACTATATACTAAACCAATAATTTTTGTCAAAATTATGAAAATTGGCCCAAGAGAACCGGGTTTCTTATTTAAATAGCGTATTATTTTATCTTTTTTACTATTTTGTTTTATATATAATTTAAGTTTCTACTTTTTATTAAATACACCCGTCGTAATTTTTTTAAACTCTAGATACAACTTGAAAGTGATTATTTATTTTATAATAGATTTGAATAAAAACTCTTTCAATCAAATACATTATTAACAATAGTCAATTATTACTGAAATAATTAATTCAAATAATTTGCAATCAAGCACTGTGATACTGTATATTTTTCAATTAAATTTAATTAACTTATTGTTACTATTAAGTTTAATTTTAGATGTTTTATATTAAAATCTTTCTAGTTTATATGCAAATTGTTATTATATATTCTATGGTTGCCGGATGATAGAAAATTAATAAGAATATAAGATAAAAAAGAAAAAAAAAAGATTTAAAAGTATATTGGTATATAATAAAACAAAAAAGTGAATTTTTAAAAATTAATAGTTAATTTCTATAAAATTTATATTTTTAAAATCTTTTCTTAATAAAAGTTATTTTATTTAAATATTTTTTGACTATTTAGAAAACTTATTTATTCTTGATTTTTTATTATTAGTCTATTCTAGAATATCAAAATTAAATAAAAAAACAAACGATTAATAATAGAAAGATATTTTTGTTAAAGAAAAATAATTTTATTATAGTTTATAAAAATTAATAAATTTAATATTTGAGATTTAACTTAATTAATCAAGAAAAGATAGAAATAATTTATTAAGAATATTTAATAAAAAATTTTTAAAATTAATTAATAATAATAATATTTATATTTATATATAATTTTTTTTAAACCTTTGATTAAACTAGATATGTATATTTTATTAAACATTTGTATATTTTATATTTTAAAATATTTTGTTAAAGTTAAATCTTTATTTAATTTATTTGTCTATGTTTTATATATTTATAAAGCTATAAATATAACTTGAAAGATATTTATTATTTATTAATAGTTCAAATAAAAATTCTTCTAATTATTAATTTATTGTCTATAGGTTACTATTGCAAATTACTTTACAAGATTCTACAAGAATTAAAGTTTCATTTACTTTATTTTATATTCAACTCTTTTTTTAAAAATTACCTTAAAATTTTTATCTTTTAAAATTTTTTTTTTGTTAATTGCTTCCTTTTTACTAAAAATATAGATTTTGAACTTAAATGATATAAAAGCCTTTTAGTTTTGTTTTCTCAATAAATCCCTTGTGTTTACTCTTAATTTAATTATTTTCGCATATCTTATATTTCAAATTCTTTTTTAAACTTGATTGTAAACTCTTTCTATATTTTTAATATATTTATTTTTTATAACATTTCAAATTTATCATTTTTTAAATAGATTTCTTCTTATAAAGTTAGTATAAAAGTTTAAAATATCTTAACTAGTTTATGAGATCTGTTTTACTAGTTTGAAGATTTATTTATCAAGCTTTTCAATTTTTTTATAATTATTTATAATTAGTCTAATAATTTATTTTTTGTTTTTTTTTTTCTTTTATATAGAAGTTTTTTGAAATCTCTGAGAATTTTATTTATTTTTTTTTATATTTCTTATACTTTGGTATGGTTAGGCAATTGTTATATTTTTTAAGATAGAAGGAATTCTATCTCTGAATGAGAAAGGATTGGAGATAGTGGTGTATATATAACTATATAGGTCGATTCAATACAGCATGTTCTATCTTGTTACAAGCCCTTTTTACCTAATGCAATAAAGTCGAGAGATATTCGCTAAGTCTTTGTATTCTAAAAATTGAGCCAAATAGTCTATAACTATATGTTTCTTTCACCTGCCTGACAAAAGTCAAAGATATAGTAGTGAGCAGTATCCTGTATTCAGCCGTACCAGACTCTTATGACTTATGATATACTTCAGGTTCTTATAGAACTAAGGAAATACATTCAGATACATGAAATAACCAATAAGAGCTTGTTTACATTTTTGTACTGATGTGATTCTACTAAATCAATCAAATTATGAGAAGCTTTGTACTATTTAAAATTTAGGATCAAACTGGAATTAATGATAAGTCCCTAAAGTATTTAGTATATAAAATTTTGCAGATCCCTTATGTCCCTTTTTGAGA